AAAGTCTTGTCTATTTTCTGCTGTTTCTCAATCAATCTTCACCAGAATTGTGACTCTAAAGTCAGCAAAGGCTATCTGGGATTTTCTCAAACAAGAGTATGAAGGAAATGAGAAAGTCAAAGGGATGCATGTGCTGAATTTGATCAGGGAGTTTGAGATGCAACGGATGAAGGAGTCAAAAAAGGTGGATTAAATTTTTCATTTAAATCTATTAAGATTTTTTTTATGTTAATTTAAAAAAACTGACAAAAAAATAAGTATTTAAAATAAAATAAAAATATGAAAAGAAAAAAAAAAGGAAAAAGGATATCATAATGGACCATAGCATTTGGGCCCAAACGACATGTTTTTTAATTTAATTTAATTAATATTTTGCATAATTATTTTATAATTTATTTTTAATAATTAATTTGATAGTTTTACTTTTATGTGTTTGATATTTAATATATTTTTATGTTTTCCGGATTTATTTTAATTAATTGAAAAAAAAACACACAAAATAAGATACGGTTAAAAGACACGTGACGCGCATGTACAGAAGTCGCTATGGCCTATAGCGACATAATGTCGCTATAGGCTATAACGACTTCTATTTTTCCCTTTTTTTTAAAAAAAAATATTTACTTATTTTTTTAATTTGTTATTTTATTTTATATTATCAATTTAATATAAATTTAAATTTATAATTCTGTTTTATCTACTTCATTTTTATTTTATTCTTTCATTTAATTTGTTAATTTTAATTTATTTTTTAAATATTTTTTTAAACCATTTTTCTTTCAGTATATTTTTTAATTTTTATTTTATATATTTTAAATATTTAACAAAAGAGACGCTATGGCCTATAGCAACACAATATCGTTATAGGCTATAGTAATTTCTATTTTTCCTTTTCTTATAAAAATTATTTACTTATTTTCTTAATTTGTTATTTTATTTTATATTATCAATTTAATATATAAATTTAAATTTATAATTCTATTTCATTCATTTCGTTTTAATTTTATTCCTTCATTTAATTTGTTAATTTTAATTTATATCTTTTAAATATTTTTTTAAAATATTTTTCTTTCAATTTATTTTTTAATTTTTATTTTATATATATTAAATATTTAACAAAGGAGACACCATGATTTATTTTCATTTTTTTTCTTTTTTTTAATTATTTACTTATTTTCTTAATTTGTTATATATTTTAATGAAATTTCATTTTTATTACATGTATATTATAAATATTTTTAACTTTTATTTTGTTTTTTTTATGTTATTTTTGTTAAAAAGTATATTATAAAAAATTTGATGGCGTTTTAAGTTATAACGATTTCATTGAAAACGTTTTGAAAACGTTTTGTATTATCATGAGTTGTAGCGACAATACGACGTTCATGACTTTTTTTAATTTAAAATTTAAAAAAAGACGTATCATTAGTGTCGCTATAAACCATAGTATAGCATAAAAGTATAAATAATTTTAAAATAATCTTATTTACGTAAATAATTTTAAAAGTACCTAAAAATTCGTCATCAATCAGCATGTAGAAACTTGTTTTGTGTTCCCTCTTTGTATAGACATATAAGTATATAACAAAGGGACCAAGCCCAAAAGGAAAGAAACTATAAGACACTTTTCTAGACCAAGGTGACAAACGTTTCGTATTGGATCAAGAATTTCTGTGCAACCCTCCAATTCAGATAGAAATATTCATAATTTATGATGATAAATCTAACTGAATTTTAAACGTGAACAATTAATATTCTGCCTGCTATATTCCATGAATGTTTGAATACAGAAATACATTTCCATTACGTATTGGAATTTGGAAGAATTAGTCATTTTCGTTAAGTTTTTTCTGACATTGTTATCTGATAGTTTGAAGTTTATCTCTTCTATGTAAAGTTATAATTTTGTCCAAATCCTCCCTACTTAAATATTATTAAAAAAAATGAAACATAACATGTTTACATAATAATGAGACAATCAGTGTTCCAGGATCTTCCCGTGTACATAAACCGACAAGAAAATCATGGAATCCGATCCAAACAAAACACATTATTCATTAGCATGGCAACAATTTGGTGTACTCATGGAAGCTTCAAAAATTGAAGAACAACATGGTGGTAGGACAAGCAAAACAGAAACAGATTCAATTCAGGGGTGTAGGTTTAGGCCTTATATCGATTCCTTGAACAAAAAGGCCACCTTTCCAATCACCACTCTTGATCTCATAAACACCCATCTCGACCTCCTTGTCCTCATCTCCTTGGTTCAAGAACTCTCCCAATTCCACCTCCAACCACCCATCTCCTCTCTCCTTGGGGTACTCAAGATCAAGATTGTTGTTAGTATCTTGTGCAGGGGGCGGTGCCTCAACAGCGCTGGGCAGAAAACGTGCACGGTTGAATATCCCAGCACGGCGAGGAACAATCTGGTACCTTAGGCTGCGTCCTCTTTCGGCGTCCAAGAAAACGGTTCTCTTGCGAGTGTCACCTCCAGCAACTCCAATGGAGACTTGCACTGATTGGTGATCGAAGCCGTAGGTTCCTGCAGGGTTAGGCTTAAACACAAGGTATGCAGCATACAATGTGTTGGGAGACAGCATGGTGGTGTTGATCCAGCCCCGGATTTCCAACCAACACACGCTCACAAGCTCAGCCACCTCAGAAAACCTGCAATTCCAATTCAATTAAACTATCATGAATCAAATAATTCAATATTCCTACCTTAACCTAAGCTTAGAAGAAAATGATATGTTATTTATTACCTGGCATCTGGAAGCGAAGTCCACCTCCAATACCTGGGAGTATCTCCCCAAACAATGAAGAGAGTCCTGGCTGATAGCATGAAGCATTTCTTTCCATCTGCTTTATCCAGTTGAAAGCTCTGTGTGGCAATGGCATGAGTGAGTAAAAGAATAAATGATAGAAGCTGAGATTTTAGAAAAGAGAAAAGAGGAATGTACCTTTTTACCGTCGTGGATGAGGAGCGGTTTTTGGCAGAGAGAGAGGTAAAGGTGCTTCTTGGAAGAGAGAGATTGAGATTGAGATTGAGATTGAGATTGAGAGAGCAGGGATTGGTAATCGTGAGGCAAGAAGGTGTCCCATACGGCGTCGGAATCAGCGGCGGATCTGAAGGTGGAGGAAAGGACGGAGAGCCTGCACACATCTCGAGGACAAGTCAAGGACAGAACATTCGCTATGCAACCTTCCGGGAGATTGTTCAACTCCATAATGCTTCCTCTCCCTCTCCCTCTCCCTCTCCCTCTCCCTATATATACTATATAAAGAGGAAGCTTAGCGGTTAAGCGTATTGTATCCGCCACACAACAAACAACTATTCATTTATTATTCTGCCAAAGGATCACATTTTTAATATATTCTCCTAATAACCTCCCAATTGCCAAATATTAAATCATTTCCCACCTTTTTTTTTTTTTTACTATTTTATATCATTTTTTTATTATTATTCCTTAATTATAACTTTGATATGTAATAATTCTTATAATAACAACTCTAAAAACTTTTATTAAACTACTATTAGTATGTAAGTAACACCTTGAAATATACGAGCCTTTTCAGATGTGGCCAAAACTTTTGTTTGCATGTTTCACACGTGTTCTTTCAAAAGTTAGTTTGGAACAAAAAACGAAATTTCGGATACGCCCTACCTCCATATTTTTTAATTACATATTTATGTTTAACTAACCACACTTATAAGAACTCAAAACATCCACTTCAAAACAAACGGCGCACACTTTATCATAGCTTAATTAATGAACCTACTTTTTAAATGAGACACTGTATCTTCTTTTCTTTCTTCAAACATACTTTTGGAGCATGATCCTGCCAGATGTCAACAACCAATATTATGCATCACAATTTCATCTGCCAGATGTCAACAACCAATATATAATTAGTTACTTCACTCGTAAGGAGGAATTAGATCACGTCAAGTTAGACATTATCCGAGTCTAATTTTTTTAAAATTTATTATAGTGTTATCTTTTAAAAATATGACCTGACTTATATAAAAGATTAGCCTAACTTACAAATTTGTTTAAGAATTCACTCTGTTATAATTTAATATTACGATAGTAATAAAAATAAATTATATTGGGTTTTATAAAAATTAAGTTCAATTTATTCATATAATACAAGCATAATTTTAAAATGACATTCATAAAAACTAGTTTAAATACATATTTTGCATTCAAATTTTAAAATAGGACATAAATAGACACTATCAAGCGCCTTCGCCTGTCTCCTTCCCTCCCACGGCATGGGTCAAAAAAATTACGACAAACAATATAAAACTTATGCAAATACTTCACATGGGGAGAATCAAAGTTTGGGACATAACAAAGTTCAAAGTTGAAACATAAAATAGGGAAGCAGCATTTTGCCATCTAATTCGCAAGACCCATGCATATATAGTTCTGTGACTTAAATTGAACAAGAAATTACGATTGCTTAATTTTATTCCTTAGGCCTAATTTCAATTCCTTCGATAAAGAGGCCACACTTCACATTAACATCATCATTATCATCATCCATAACCTCTGTGACACTCATCTGCACTTCAGCTTCTAAGTCTGTATTGAAGAACTCTCCCATCTCAATCTCCAACCACCCGTCGCTTCTCAATATTGGACGTTGCAATCCAACAACTCTGTCGTTTGGAAATTTTATGATTGGATCCAAACAAACAAATTTGGTACTACCATGGCCACCAAGGATACCAACCGATAACTCCATAGGACAATTATAAAAACTCTCAGGATAGATCATCTTAAAAACAAGAATAGCAACATATTGAGTATTTGGGGACAAAACAAGGGTGTTTTATCACCCCACGAAATACAATCGACCACACAAATCTAAGATCAGCAACTTCCGGGAACCTGTTAAAAAGTTTTACATAGAAGTTGCAAAGATAAGAGGAATACATAAGTAACACAGAAAAACAGAACATCCAAAATCAGTACAGTAGTTATTGAAACAAGAAACAGAAAAATGCTGAGTGATTCATTAATTCATAGATGGAGTATTTATACAGGCGTAGATACATTTAAAAATAAAAATGATCTAAAATAACACTAAATGTCAACTCATTAACTATAAAATGGAATCAGTAACGAATCATAACAAACTTATCAACAGGTCAGTTACGTTGATTGGTCAGTGAAATGCCAAAAATTATGCAGGAAATACAATAGCCAAGTAAACTTTCCATAGCTGCTAAGGACCTATACACAGCCTATGCAGATAGCTGAACACTGACCGTATATTGCTTCTCTGGTTCCCAAGAGACAAGTGAAATCCATAATAAAAACATAGTAACCTTTAGTGGGTCTGGAAGTGTCCACATGTGACATGTGAGGACAATTCAGCAACTACATAGACCTGAAAGTGTAAAGGGAGACTCTGGCCAGGTGTGCCTTTCAAATATATGAGTAGAGTATGGACTGCATCTAGGTGAGGACTGTGAGGCTTGGATACATTCTCAGTTTATTGACAGGATAGCTGACTACAGGTCTAAAAATTGTCAAGTATGACAACAGTGTACCTGTCAATTGTCTTTAAAGGGAATGGTTAGCCAGTGGAAGTTGCATGGCGAGAAAGACTGCATGTTTTTGTTTCGCTTAGGTCCACCTCCTAACAATGAGGAAAACAACTAAAAATTTTGCTATTTGTACTAGAATCCTTCTCGCATTTCCACAATGTAGAGCTGAAAGGGACTTGGACACTTGGTAATTTCCCAAATGCTAATCATCAAGGAACCCAGTTTAGCCGAAATTCATTCAACGTTGACTAATGTCACGCAGCAATACCTCTTATTTTTTAGAATGGAATCAATAGCCACCATTCAAGTGTCAATGGCATCAATTCACTGAGTACCCATTCGATACGGTAACCTCACCCTCTCCAATTCTCTTAATCAAAGCACCAATTGATAGGAATAGCTCTTATCCACTGAGGGAGATGGTGCTATTTATTATATAAATAGTAACAGTTTAAAAATGGAAAACCAGAGACTGAGCTCCTTTCCATGGAAGAATTCTCCTAGCCTGAGCCAAAACAGAAAGGCAATTGTGCCCCCAATTGAAATATTGAATATTACCCCATCTGTTTACCAACCAGTTTCCCCCTTTTGTTTCTATCTCCTTTAACAGGCACAATAATTGGTGTGCCTCCGTATAAGAAAATGGGATTCAAACTAACACAATTTTACAAAATCAGTTTGTAAAGTGATAATTGTTTTTCATTATATATATTATTATTATGGTTATCTCAATAGTCGATGTAGGATCCCCAACATCTTGGGCATGTAAGAGTAGATTTGCTGGATTTTGGGTTTGGGATGGATCTAGGTGACACAACAAAACAATAGATAACCCTGCAGACTTTTATTTGAACGATGAGTACTGCTGTTGTCTCTTAATAGTTTACACATGAAAATTGATGTGAAGTTCCCTTTGCTGCTGGGAAATAAGTTAAAGCTAAATCTTTAGCAATGCCAGATCAGAGAGGGCACGATAGGACCCAACAACAGCATTGACTTTTGACTAGAAGGTATGTTACAAAAAAAAAAAAACTGATTGAAAAAGTGGAAAATGATGGATATGATATGGGAGTAGAAATTGAGAAAAAATGCAGCCAGTGAATTCATTTGGTTGATTAATAGATGCAGTAATTATGCAAAGGTGTGATCCAAGAATGAGCATAGAAAAAACGAAGGACAAACCTGGAATCGGGATCGGTTATCCAGATCCAATAATAGTGAGTATTGGCACAAGCCATGGCGAGAGATCTGGCAGCAAGCATGTAACATTTATTGCCAGTTTTTTTGTGCAGTTGAAAGCTCTGGAAGGAATTGGAGATTAAATTGAAGCAAAAGGTTTGAAGAGTGGCAATGGCAATGGCAATGGCAATGGCAATGGGACGTACCTTTGTACCCTGTTCGATGATGATAGGGCGATTTGCGAGAGCGAGATAGAGGGCCTTCTTGGGAGCATAAGCATAAGCATAACCATAGTTGAGAAGCAGAGGAAATTGATAAATGTCGGAAGGGAGAAAACGTTCCCAAACGACGTCGGATTCAGCGGCCGAACGGAAAACCTTGGAAACCAGCGAAAGCCTGCATGCATCCGCAGGCGTGGTGCCACAGAGTATGTTAGCGATGCAAGTTGCAACCTTCTTGCAGACACTCTCTAATTTTTTATTTCTTTTTATTTTCTATTATTGATTCTTAGATTATTATTTTTCAAAATTTTACTCTTGTGGTTGATAAATTTTTAGTAGTCTTTTTTATTTTTATTTAATTTTAAATTTAGTTAATTACTTGATGTATAGAAATAACAAAATGCTTGTAGTTTATCTATTTTTTAATATTTAAAATTAGGATTGATTATTAAATATGAAAATATTACATTTTTATTTATTTTGGATGAAAAGTCTTAAAATTGAATGTCGTTTATAGAAAAGTTAAATAAGAGAATTTTGATAAAAGTTAGGTTGTGCATTGGATTGAAATTTTAAAATACCATTTTTTTTTTATGAAAAAGCTTCTGAACTTTAAAAGCTTGTTTAGGGGTAAATAATTTTAAAAAGATTATAATCAAGAATTTGTAATTAAAATTTTAATAAATTTACATCAAAATATAAATTATAAGATTTAAAAATATTTTACGAGATTTAAAATGAGAACATGAATGTTTAAAGATAATACAATAAATAAAAAAACAGAATATAAATGATAAGGTTTGAATAGAAAAAATGAAATGAATATAATTTTGTAATATTTATAGATAATTTATTATAATTAATTTCATGTCCTTCTAAATAATATTTTTCATATAATTTTTTTAAAATTTTAATATCCTTTTGTTCATATTTTTAAATTTGAACAATAAATTAAAAAAATATAGTATTTATTAACTAGTAACATCGAAGATGAGGATTTATTTAAAAATAAAATTGAAAATTTTATTAGAACAATGTTCTTTGTGAATTTTTTTTTGTAATATTATATATTTTAACATATATTCAACTAGTGTCTTAATAATAGAAATATTGACTTAAAAATTGTGAAATATAATTTAAAGATATTAAATATTTTTATGTTTAAATTCCTATAGATGCTTGACAAAAATTAAAACAAGATGTTAAAAGTCTAAAATTTATAGATAGTATAAGCTTTCTAGCAAGATAGAAAACTTCATTGAACAAATAAGTAGGTGTAACCAAAAAACACTTTGAAGTTCAAAAGTCAATAAATATTTCACTAGAATAACATTGTAAAAAATAACATTGGCTCTTCAAATGTCATCCTCGCTGAGTTATGATGAATTCTATCGATTGTGCAAGTTGCTTCAACAAATGGTTGTAAATTCCTTTGGATTTAGAGTGATAGCAAGTTTGTCATGCAGTTTGTGACTCTAGGAGTGCACAACTCTCACCCTATCTAGATATAGTTTCAACAATCAGGTATTGGATATTCAAAGGGTTTAACAGTTCGTATTTTTCATGTACTTGTGGAAGGTAACTGTGGGATCCAAATCACTTGTCTCATATTATGTCCCACCAATGAAATCTTGACATGTGGATAAAAAACATAATATATATTCCAATTTTTTATGTATCTTTAACAGATTACTTACATTGTTACTCTTCTTTTGTTACAATACCTTGATTAAGAACATGTAATCCGCATAATGCATTGACTGCACTCCTACTTGTTGTTTCTCCCTTATAATCCGCATAACTCCAATGAGTCGTGTAGAAGAAAAATCAAACTTCAATTTTAAAGTTTAAAATTTTAATAACCAAAATTGATTATACACTATGACATCCTCTCTTTTCCTTCAATTTTTAATTGGGGTTATCGCACTGTGTCAATTGACAAAGTATTGCTTACCTAATAAATCATAATAGTGTATACATGGATTGAGTGTCAAATTTAAGGAAAAAGACTATAGAAATAGTAGAATGTCTAATCATAATAGTATATATTGGGGAAGATTATCACAACATAGGGAGAGGGAGAAGGAGAGTAAAGGCATAAGAAATCCATTAAAGATACGTGCAAAGAATAAAAAATATAGTTTTATTTTTATCCACATATCAAATTTCATTGATAAGACTTAATGTAAGACACCAACATAAAATCAATGATTTAGATTATATTGTAGATAGACCTCAATATGTTCTGTTTATTTACTCATTAAGAATATAATAGAGTTGATAACGTCCTAATCATCATCACATTTAGTTTTGAGTTTAGCCCTCCTATGAAAAAAAATGTAAAAAATAATAAGTACCATCATCCAATGATGTGGGTTGTTATTTATTTTAGAGAGATCAACTGAATATTTGGTATGGAACCCAAAACATTTCACAGGCAATATTTCTCTATGATGATTTCATTTCAATAATCTTACTCTTTAATATTGATCACTTGATTCAGGTTCCTTGAGCTTTTGAACCAAAATAACCCTTTGTATGGATTATGCCTCATATTGAAACCGAAACAATTTATTTCACATAAAAAAAATTATTCTTTTAACCGTAATATTTTAGTTTTTTTTTTTTTTGGTTTCTTCTTTGTACCAATTAATGAAGTTCCTTTACAATAATACACATAATTATTTGCTTGATTCTTATTCTGATCTATTATCCCTCAGTTTTTTTTATTTTAAAAAAAAATTGATGGCATAATATATATATTTGATCATGTAATTGTTTCTATTTTTAAAAGCAAAAGATGTATATAATTTTGGTGTATAGATTTTTTCTTTATTTTATTCTTATAATAACTATTCCAATTTCCAAACCACTACTACTACCAAAAGAAATCCACTTATACCCTCCAACAATAAATCATTCAATATTATTTAATCTCTACTATTTTTATCTTTTATTTTATTTTATTTTTAAACAAAACATGCAGAAACACTGAGTGCCACTTTTCTACAAATTCAAATATGCATTAATATAAAGTCTAGATGATATTTCTTAACATATTTATATTAGTTACAATTTTAATATTCACTATTAAAATTAGTTAGTAAAATACTAAAAATAAAACAATAATTTTATCAAAAATAAGTTACATGAATAACACAACTTCTTTTTAATCTATACTTCCATCTTGAAGAGATTAATTTATAAACATTAGCAATGTAAAATACATTAGCAAATATTTAATAAGATTTAATTATTTTATCACATCATTACATTTATGATAAGATAAATTATTAAATATTTACGTAAAAATATTTTATACTGAGAAACTTCAAAATATCTGCAAACGAACTAAAAGAAATCCAAAACTCAAATGGATGATGCTTTGACCAAATTCATATTGAAACCCAAATATGGGAGATAGTGAAAATACTATTTTTGTTTCATAGCAGGCATTTCTGAAGCCCTAGCAATGTTATCTCTCTGACTCCCTCCACAGTCCCTTTCTTCCCTTGACTTGCTGAAACAGAATTGATACAGTCGATTAGAGTAACTTTGATAATTCTTATAACTGATTAGATATAGAACTTGTATTGATCAAATCAAAACAGTGAATACCAGTGGTTTGACTTAAACCTCCCCCCTCACAGCAATACCAGCCTCCATTCATTAATCAAATGCGCGATGTTACCACGCCTTTTATTTTACATATGGACATTAATAATATATCCATTAGTTCAATAAAATTAACTTCAATCCTTCACACAAACGTTTGGAAGTGTGTTCAACACTTCGAAGCTCGAGGTGTTAACAAAACAGGGTTCACAGCCGAAAGTTCCACAAAGTTAGATTTGTGTAATTCTTTTTTAAAATCTAACCCAACTCAATTCGATCCTAAGTAAGTTTGGTTAGATTGATTTAATCAAATAAACACAATTAAATTTATTTATTTATTATAAAAAGTTTAAATCTTTCAAAATTTGTAAATTATTTGATATATTACTACAAACATAATACTATCATCCTATAAAGTAAATAATAATACAAACTAAATTATAAAATTAATTTATTAATTTATTATATTATTATCAACTCAAACAATCAATATTAATTAATACAAAATATAAATTTAAAATAAATATTATATTATTATAATATTATCAATCTAAAATATAAAATTTATTACTAAATAAAAGTCATAATGAGTATGAACCTAAATAAATAATGATGATGATTATTATTATTATAATCAAGTTAAATCATGAGTTGAAAACATAAAATCTGTTTTCTAACCTGTAAAGTATCTTATTTTAATCGAATTAGATTGAGTGGAATTTGAACACCGAAAAAATTTAACCCAAACAAATTCATTGGAAAAAATCTAACCCAAACAAACTTATTGAACCGATCTAGATCAGTTCGAATTCGGAGATTACATATATATCCACTTACACTCTTAACATCAGCATTACAATAAATGTTCAGAATTTCATCCACCATATACAAGCAGTTTACCCCCTCATCAGTGATAAGAATCACAAGAAGCAATACAACTTATGTATATAAAAGAGTAGCAGTTTGGCACGATAATACATCACAAAGTTCAACGGTTGACGCTTAAAATACACAAGCAGCATCATGCCCTCTAAGACGCAAGACCCATGCATATAAAGTTCTGTGAATTACATCAAACAAGAAATTCCGGTTGCTTAATTCTCTCTCTTTGGCCTCACTTCTATTCCTTCAAGAAAGAGGCCCTTCTTCCAATTACCATTCGTAGTCTCTAAGACACTCATCTTCACTTCATCTTCTAAGCCTGGATTGAAGAACTCTCCCATCTCAATCTCCAACCACCCATCGTTTCTATCCTTTGGACGTTGCAATCCCATGACTCTGTTGCTTGGCGTCTCTCTGTTTGAATCCAAACAGACAATTTTGCTACTAACATGGCCACCTAAGATTTCAACCGATAACTCCACAGGACGGTTGCGAAATCCGTAGGCATCAATCATCTTGAAAACAAGATAAGCAGCATATTGAGTATTTGGGGACAAGGCACGGGTGTTTATCACCCCACGAATTTCAAGCCAACACACATCTTTAAGTTCAGCAATTTCTGGGAACCTGTTCAAAAGTTTTACACAGATGTTGCCAAAAAATGAATAATAAGTGGCAATGATGTGTTTCACAGAGAAGAAAAAGAAAAAAGAAAGAAAAAAAAAACATAATCAGTGCAGTAGTTATTGAAACAAGAAACAGAAGAATGCTGAGTGATTCATTTATTCATAGATGGGAGTATTTATACGGGTGTATATGATCTAAAATAACACTAAATGCTGACTCATTATAACAGGCACACTAATTGCCAATTGGTGCCTCCCTTCACCTTGGGTCCGTGGGAGTAGACTTGCTGAATTTTGAGTATGGATCTAGGTGATACGACAATAGGTAATTATGCAGGTTTGCTACCGAAGTATCCCAGCATAGTACTTGCTCAACAATAATAAGATTATTTTTCTTGATCATGTTATTTTCATGTCACTAAATCTTACTTCCACTCTTCCATTTTAATTGTCAGCTTTTCAAGAAAATTTTGCTTCTACTTATCGATGGTTTTCAAAGTCCAGGATAACATTAATTATTCTTTTGTCAATTAACATACCTTTCTTATTCATCATTAAATTTTCATGAAAGATGATCATATTAATCCATACCAAATTATGGACCGATATCAATAAAATTGATAAATAATAACAATACTAAATTATGGACCGATATTAATAAAATTGATAAATGATAACAGGGAGTTTGAGAGGTGAGACATAGAACATTTATTTCTTAAACTTTCTTTCCATAATTCAACCAAAAGAAATACATATTCTCACAATATATAATAAAGACAAAAGATGAAAAATAAAATTAATATTTTATAAAAATTATAAAGCACCTTATTAAAAAATATCACAATTTCTTTACATATTGTACCTTATAATAAAAACTAGAATTCGTTTTATTTTATTTATGTATAAATTGTGCTTTATAAAATACCACCTTTTTTTTAATCACCATGTCTATTCTCAAATGGCCATCAATTTAGTAAAATTCAGCTGCGAAAATATGACAGAGAGAAAGCAGTTGAAAAACCCTACGGCCATTTTTTTTTGTTGTCGCTAGAATCGTTCTTAGGAGATGACTAGCCAGATATATCATGGATAACATGATACTTACAATTGAATATCACAATATTGTTATTTTCCGTCCAAGCACTCAACAGTTAAGGATCGGTTTATAATCAGGCTCAGGATTCAATCCATCAATTAAGTCACGAGATTCGAGAATAGCATATAGGAATAGGAGTAATGTTTTAGAAAAAATCTAAGCCATTCATTGATTGTAGACGCAGTATTTGTGCAAATGCAACAATTACAAGCGCTGACCTGGAATTGGGATCGACTATCCAAGTCCAATAGTTCTCATTATCGCCCCAAATAACGGTGAGAGCTCTGGCAGCAAGCATGTAACATTTCTTCCCACTCTTTTTCTCCAATTGAAAGCTCTGCATTCATTTCATAAAACAAGTAACGAATAAACTGAAGCTAAAGGTTAAAAGAGATTCGAAACGCGTTTTGCACCTTTCTACCCTGGTCGATTATGACAGGGCGATCCGCGAGAGCGAAATAGAGAGCCTTCTTGGAATCGTAGTTGAGAGGCGCGGAAGCTTGGGATACGATGGAATGGTAATCGGAAGGGAGAAAACGCTCCCAAACTTCGTCGGATTCGGCGGCTGAACAGAAAATCTTGGAAACTGCCGAGAGCCTGCACACGTCCGCCGGGGTGGTGCAAGAGAGTATGCTCGCCACGCAACCTTCCGGCAACGCCTGAAACTCCATTCTTGATTTCTCTCACTTCTCAATCCAACGCTAACACCTACCGTTGTTTAATACTACTACCATTTCACGCTTTTATGCCTTCACTCAATCACCGCTGTTTGATCAGGATCCTACGGCTTGTATTTCCGTATCTTGAATTCCACTTAAAAAATATGTATAAATGGAATAGATTCCCAGCCGTTGATTTCATGACACCGTGCATCATGAACCCTCTGGATCCACAGTTCGGTATTTTGTTTACGCGCATTCACTGTGCATGCATGTGCTTCCTTCTTTCTTTTTTCTTTTTTTTTTTTCTTCTTTTTTTCACTTTTAGTTTTTCGTCAACTCCGTGTCCTGTAAGGATCCACTTTATCTTATTCCCGAATTGATCTGTTTCATTTTTTTTGGTAAAAAATATTTTCTTTCCTAAATATGTTAAATACGTAAACTAGACATTGTATAATACATTTAAATTACACGTATTTAATATTTGTCTAGTTTTCATTTATTTTATTTATTATTACTAGAAAAAAGGCATGCCTGTATTGTATTAAAAAAAAATTACTCATAAAAAAGTAATTATTAAAAAATAAATAAAAGATAAAATAGTGTATATAAAATAAAATAAAAATAAAAATTAAATAATAAAAGTATATTAATCTAATTAGTATTATGATTAATCTATTAGTTTTAAGTTCTTAAATTTGATAAAAAAAATATTTTTTTTAAATTTTTTAAATAAAAGGGTATAATGGTCCAAAATTATGGAGATCAAGGTAATTACTAAAAAAGGTATCCATTTTATATATTAATATAGATTCTCTCCATTCCACAATCACTATATTTTAAATTTTGGCTTAATTGTATTTTTGATCTCTCAAGTATTGTAATTCGGCAATTTTAATCTCTAAAGTTTTAATTGGATAATTTTAATCCCTGAAGAATTGTAATAATGTGAGCTTGGTCCTTCACTTTTTAATTGAACAATTTTAGTCCCTCAAATATCATAATTGTACGATTTTAGTCTCTCCTATTAAAAATTTAATAATTTTAATATATATATACAATATTTTAAAATTATACAATTATTTTTTTATTCAAGTTAACGCATATTATAATTTTCTTCAATGCATCAAATGATATATTTATTATTAATAAATAAATAAAATTTATATATTATTATTTTTATAATATTACTGATAAATTAATATCAATTAT